CTATCATCTTTAAAAATAAGGACTAAAAATAAATAAATAAATAAAAATAAAAAAAAACCACACACAATACCATTATCACACCTTATAGAAATAATAATTCTTTCACATCATTAAGTATTCAATCATGGTTAAATAGCTAAATGTCATAATTTTTTTAATAGTTTGTTTGATTCAGGATCCAAATATATTTTTAAAGGAATAATAAAATGGAATAATAAAAATTTTAGTGATAGCTAAATATCTAGACTGCTGCAAATTCTGATTCTCATATTTTGGATTTTTCCTACAGTGCATAGTGAAGTTATATGTTTAGTCCTTTGAACAGCACTATTAAGTGCCTTTCCTTTGGTAATTCAATTTTTTGTGTGTGTGTGATCTCAACTTTGCCACTAAATACATGTATCTCCTTGAACACAGTCAGCCTGTCCAAGTCTCAGTTTCCATAATTTAAAAAAGAAAGTGTTGAACTAGAATTGATTACTCTACGTGCTTTTATGGTGAACCTACCAGGTGGGAGGCAGAACAGCTCAGGGTCAAGAGGAATAGCACTGACATCCAGTAGATGTGGGCTGAAGCCCTGCCACACAGAGGCCACATGAGCTGGGATAAGTTTCTTAACCTCTCTGTGCCTCAGTTTCCAAATCTGTGAAGTGCAGAACATAGTCAACCAAATTCAGAAAGTTTTTCATATATGCGTATAGTGGTGGAGTACAGAGAAGGGTGGATAAAATGAGAAACTAGGGGTACAGTGATTATCACATAATAATTCCTCAGTAAATAGTAAATCTAGTTAGATTATCAACTATTTGGGGCAGGGGTTGAGCAGATGAGCCTGGAAGGATAGGCAGAAGTTTGATCTGTGTTGTTGAAAATGGCAGCCACTAGCCAGCCACACATGGCTATTGAGCACTGGAAATGTGGCTAGTCCGAATTGAGATGTTTTGTAAATAGAATACACTCTGGATTTCTAAGACGTAGTATGAACAAACAACATAAAATATCTCAGTGATATTTAATATTTAGTATATGTTAAAGTTATAACATTTAAGATCCACTGGGTTAAATAAATACTATTAAAATTAATGTCACCTTTTAAAAAATTTTTATGAATGTGTCTATTAGAATACAAGCCACCTATACAATTTTAAATTTTCTCTTTCTATTGGACAGCACTGGACTAGATCGTCAATCACCATTACCCTCATTTTGAACTGATCTTTTTTCTTCTGTAATTATCCATCTGGTCAAACAGCATGGAAAATTGGTAGATATAATTGAAGGCCCCCTCTCTCTTAGCCTGCAAAACACGTTTATTCTACTTCCTTAAGACCTCACACATCTGTCCTCTTCTCCATTTCCACTGCTCCTCTAAGATGTTACAAACCCATTTAAACGCTTTCCCTACCTAATAGCCCCTCTCCAATCTCCACTGCTCCTTAAATCTGTCACAGTTTCCCACGGCCTTGAGAGACATTCAAAACTCCTCGAGGAATAAAATTCCCTCTTTGATCTGACCTTAACTCTTTAAACGTCCTGCTCCCCCAAGGTTAGCTCCAGCCACGTCTTTGCAAGAGCTTCTCCTCCTGCCTGTGACAACCCGAGTCCAACTTTGAAAAAGTACCTAAGCCTCTTCGAGCCTCATTTTTCTTTCTGAAACAGGAATAATAGTAATAGAACCTACCACTCAGCATTTTTATAAGGATTAAATGAGGAAACGCACACGTGGTGCCCAATACACAGTACCCCTGCCATAAACGTTATCGTGGGACATTTTCTGGAGAAACGCCCCTTGGCGCTCCCTCCGCGTGCACGCATGCACGCTGCGCACCTCCGCTGGCCTCTCCCCTGGGCTTCCACCGCGTGCTGTCCACTCCCCGCTCTAGCTCTTACTCCGCACTGCAGCCATCTGTTTACTCATCCTTCTTGCCTCTACATCAGTGGTTCTCAAAGCGTGGTCGTAGGGCAGCAGACCCAGCTGAGGCAAGAGGTGCTCAGTTTCCCTGGCTCGGGTTACAGGACAAACCTCCGGGTTTGACTCCCCGAGGTCCCAGGGCCCTCCTCTAGGCTGTCCCCTAGAGGGGTGTTACTGTTGCTGGTTGGACCTAATTTTTGGACCAACGTGAAAGACCTCAGGGGGCTGACTGGATGCAAATCCAGTGGCTAGGCATGCTCAGTAAAGTGGAATTTATATTCATTAGATAGCATGAATATGCATTAGATAGAGAGATTATAGAAGTTGAATCCTGGCAGAAGGTGTTGCTCACTTTCCCGGGGCCAACCCATGCTTTGGTGGCTGAGATGTGTATCTTTCTTTTGTATTAAACTTACTTTCTGCCGGCCGCTGCTCACTGTCATGAGCCAGCCTGCACTCTGTACTAGACTTTAAGGGCGTATTTCTTACTTTGTATTCCACCTGGACTGGGCCCTGATGGGTCTCTGCAGCTAGGCCTCGCTCTCTTTGTGAAATCTGTATCCCTTCTTTGTTACATTAAACCCGTTCTCACTTTCTACTGTGATTCTGCTCTTGAATTCTTTCCTGTGGCGGAGTCAAGAAAATGGTAAGAAGATGAGGTGGGTTCAGGCGGACTACCGGACCATCCCAGACCCCTTCTCCACATCACAGCATCCCCGGGAACTTACTAGAAATGCAAATTTCTGGTGCCCACCCCAAATGTACCAAGTCAGAATCGCTGACTTGGGGCTGGGGCCCAACAGTCTGTTTTAACAGGCGCTCAAGGTCTTACACTTGTACATTTAAGAAGACCTGCTAGACTGGGTTTCTATGGCTGGGACCACATCCCATTCACTTTGCATTGCTGCTTGCTCAGTGACTATTCGTCAGATTAAAAAAATGGGTGACTGAATCCTGATGACAGTGTGGGGTACAGAAGGATATCAAGCAGGAGAATGTCATGGTCATGACTGTCTTTTAGAAAGTTAGTTCTATAGGCTGTGTAGAGTTACATTAGAAAAGTTACTAGAGGCAAGTTGCTGATAGAAAAATTATTTGAAAATCTAGATTTACAATTCAGGTGGAAAAAAGTAATTATCTACAAAAAGTATGACTTTTCAAAATATGCTCTAAACCTCTCATGCCAAACCCTTTTACTCTTTGCCTGTGATTGCTCAGTGAGTGGGCACCTGGCCCAGTGGTGGTCAGTGAGACATAATGGTGTCTCCTAGGAAAGATTTTTATTCTCTCATAAATGAAAGAGAATTGTGGGAAGAAGTTCTCTTTTGCCCATCCTTTTACTTCTTCCTTTAAAAAGTGTTGTGTCAGCCATCATAAGGCCACAAGGGCAAGAAGGTCTTAGGAAGAACATGAGAAACATGGGCGGGAGGATACCAAGGGTTGAGCAAAGAGAGACTGAGGGTCATGAGGGAGGAGAGATTAAGGGACAAGGAGTGTGAAAAACCAAGGGGCAAATGAGGGGCAGAGAGAGAAGAGACTTAGTGGGAAGGTGTTGGGGGGCACAGGCAAAGAGTAGGAGGTATTGAAGATGGTGTGGGGTCAGGGAATGGGGGAAAATTTTTTACCTCCCAGAACCTTGGAGTTTTGGCTTCCTGTGTCCCTCTTAGGCCTGATGGGTCACCCATTTCTAAATAGTTGAGAGAAGCAAGTTCTTGGTAAATCTGTAAATTGGCCCATTCAGGGCAGGCCCAGTGGCGCACTGGATAGTGCGCTGCTTGGGAAGCACGGCGGCGCTCCCGTCCGAGGGTTCGGATCCCACATACAGACCGGCTCCCGCTCACTGGCTGAGCGAGGCGTGGGAGCAACACCGAGGCTTGCGATCCCATTGCCGGTCCCCGGTCCGGTACGGGGGCAACACTGAGGGTTGCGATCCGTTGCCGGACACGGAAAAAAAAGACAAAAAGCAAAAAAAAAAAAAAAAAAATTAGCCCATTCAGCCAATTGTCTGTGGTATGCTCTGTACTACCTTCTCCTTTTGCCTCTAGCAGAGTGTTCCTGCTATACCCAGGCCAATGAAAAGATTTGGTATATTTGGTCAATTGGTCATTCAGAAAAAAAAAGATTATCCTAAAGTGTTAGCATTTTGGTTAAACAAAAATGATTTTTTTAAAAAAAATTCAAAAGTGGAAAGAATAAACTGAAAAATTCCCATGTGAAATGCTGAAATTTTTGTTATATTCATAAGAACATATTTTAAAAGATTAATAGTGAAGTTCATCATGTGTTTTATTGTTTATTGGCTTTTTAAGATTTTCTTCATGTGAACTGCCTACACTTTATTTTTCTCTTGGTTTGTTTGTCTTTTTATTTGTATGAGTTTATATATTGTAGATATTAATTCTTTGTCTGTGATATATGTTACAAATATTTTCTCCCAACCTGTTCCTTGGCATTTAAGCCTTTAGTCTATTTGAAATTTATTGTGGTTTCTGGTATAAGACTGTAGTCTAATGGGATTTTTCTGTTTAGAAGTCAGGCAATTTATACAAAACATTTGTTGAATAATGCATCTGGTCCCATTTATCTGCAATGTTTCCCTCTTAAATCTCAGATGTGGAAGAGTCCATTTTAGGACCATCTATTTTGTTTTAGCCAATTGCTCTGTAAATTCTTACACACATGTTTAATTATTATGTTGTTATGTGGGGGGGAAGGGTTTGTTCACATTTTTCAAAATTTCTTACCTGTTCTTGTATTTTTATTATTATTACAGCTGAGATTTAAAATCATTTTGAAAAGTTAAAATATAAATATTGGCATTTAGGAAGTTGTTCTAGTGGATGGAGGGCAAGTGATATGGATATATACACCGTTAATCCTTGGTGCAAATGTGTAATATGCCAGCCTCTGGTCAGCAACACTTTCCTCGTGTACTGTGAAGTCCTTCCCACACCAGGGGTCTCCAAGCAATACAAGGCTAGTCACCACTATCTAGCAGCCATTCATCATTTTTTGTTTGTCAAGCTAGTTCCCAACAACCATGTGAAAAAGCCGAGGCTCTTGGATCTCATGCCTGCTGTCTCCACAGGTGGTTTTGCTGAATCTTCTTCTATGTGTCTCCCTGTTCTACACGGTGTACTATGTGTCTCTGAGCATGTGCTGTGTGATACTCAAGTAAGTAGCACTTTGTCTTCTAACAGGAAAGCTAACACTAAATATAAAAGGAGTTTATATTTAATATATGATATGTCTTTAGGGATTGAAGGATGTGGATTTTTCCCTAAGTAAGAGACTTTATTTTTAAGCAGTTTTAGGTTTACAGAAACATTGAGCAGAAAGTACAGACAGTTCATATACCACTACCCCTCCCCCCCCACAGTTTCTCCTGTTATTAACATGTTACATTTGTGTGGTACATTTGTTACATTTATAAATCAATATTAACATGTTATTATTCACTCAATTTTACATTAGGGTTCTCTTTGTGTTGTTCAGTTCTATGGGTTTTGCCAAATGTATGATGTCATGTATTTGCCATTACAGTATCATACAGAATCGTTTTGCTGCCCTAAAAATGCTCCGTGACCCACCTCTTTATCCCATCCCTCCCCGCCCCTCCCCTGAAACCTTGACAACAACTGATTTTTTTTTCCCCCATTGACTCAAATATTTATCATTTCTTTGTGTTGGAAGCATTCTAAATCCTCTCTTCTGGCTAATTGAAAATAAACAATAAATTGTTGTGAATTGTTGTCACCCTACAGTGCTGTAGGACAGTAGGTATTATGCCTCCTATGTAGCTGTATTTTTGTATCTGTTAACCAACCTGTCACCATCCTTTCCAGCCTCTGGGAACCATCTTTCTACTCTCAGCTTAGGAAGTGTTTTATTTAATGGTGTATACTTTCACTTTTTTTTAAAAGTGAAAATAAGCAAATGTTCCATCTTTGAAAATGGTAAAAGTAAAGTAACAATCATCAAATGAAATGTGTAGAGCCAGGCAGGATTCTTCTTCCCTCTTTGGAGGATGATCGTGGAAAGAAAATGAAACTGTGACTCCCTAGGCTGGTATTGGAATCTGAGGAAGTTTATCCTAGAAGGGGGTTTAGAGATAATCTACATCCAATTTAAATATTTTTTGATATATACTGGAAATAACTGTGAACTGGGATTCAGGAGACCTGCATTCTGGCCCAGGTTCTTACCAACTTCTTGGATCATCTTGACCAAGCCACGCAGCTTCTCTTATTTCAGTGTCTTTATTTGTCAAATGGAGGAAATAATCAAAAAAGAGTTATCGTGAGGACAAAATAAGATAATACATGTATTTTTAATGTTATCACTTCTATGTAAGTGTGAGACATTTTTCCAATAATCTTCTGTCTTGCTATGGTTGACTTTTTTTTCTGTACAAATTAAGTTGCCAATAAATTGATTGCCTTGAAATAGACTATGTATATTTCCAAATAATTTTCTAGAAGTTACGTGTTTATACAATTTACTTTTATTGTGCAACCAAAGAATTCTATTTCAATATGTAAATTAATACCAAAAATTTTTACCCGTCTCTGCAATGGAAAGATGTTATTCAGGACGCTTGCACGAAAACCTATGCAGTCTCAGCCTCTGCCTGGGACTGGAAATGGTGAGGCCATGCCTGGAGCAGGGAAGAGATAAGACTCTGCAGGGCTCTATGAGCATGGGATTTCAAGGGTTTGTAGTTAATGTGAATCATCAGAGGCAAGGAATTTGAAATAATTTGACCTTAAGGCTCCAGGAGGCAGCTAACTGGTTGACCATCTGCACATAGCTACAAACTTGGGTACAGTAAAAAGTCCAGGTATGTATTATATAGACTCAGATTTTAGAACAGGAAGATATCTCAGAAATTAAACTCTTCAATTTATAGATAAATGGAAGCTCAGAGAGGGTCAGTGAGTTGCTCAAGTGCACAGTTATAACACCATCAGGATTAGAACCTTCCTCACCTCTGCTATCTCCATGGTGTGAAGTTCTCCTCCCATGTTTGATGGCAGAAATTACAAAGATTATAGCTGAGAGCCCACATACAATTAAGGCTACTTGGTGGACAAAGTAGACTTCAATGGACAAAGAAGACAATGTGGACAAGATATTATTTGGCTGCCTTTCAAGTCAGCCAGTTTTTAAATGTGCCAAAAGTGAGTGAATCTAATGACTTATCCTTGTATGTGAATAGCGATGTGCAATGCCTTGGTATGCAGTTATGAACTGTCTCCTCTTGAGTAAACTATTTTTATTTGTAACATCTTTAGGGTACATGAGTTGGATATCCTGGCACCGTTTGATTTCAAAACAAATCCCTCGTGGCTCAACACAAATTATAAAGGTAATTTTTTAAAAATTTTAATCCTGTCAGTAAGGTAGCTGCCTCCCAAAATCAAAATTTTTAAAAAATAAGATTTTTAAAAATATCAGGCCTTTCTTTCAGTCATCTGTATATTATACCTGACTTCAAAAATTAATTAGGAAAAATGCCAGGGCCGGCCCGGTGGCACACTGCTACAGTGCGCCACTTGGGAGCGCAGCAGCACTCTCGCTGAGGGTTCGGATCCCACATACAGACCGGTTCCCGCTCACTGGCTGAGCGAGGTGCAGGCGCGACACCGAGGGTTGCGATCCCGTTGCCGGTCCCGGTCTGGTACGGGCACGACACTGAGGGTTGTGATCCGTTGCCGGACACGAAAAAAGACAAAAAGAAAAAAAAAAAAAAAAGAAAAATGCCAAACAAAATTTTAAAGTGGCTATTCCTAGGAGATGGAGTAGGATGGAATAAATAGAGGAAGGGAATTAAAATTCTTATATGAATTTTTCTTTCGAGATATTCTGGATGAATTTCTGTGCATTAAATATTTTCAAAGAAAAGGAAGAATGACTTAATGCACTGATGTAGAAAAGTGTTCATGACTTACAAAATAGAAAATATAAACTACAAAAGAGTTCGTATGCTATAATTTAATTTTCGTAAAATAGTGAAATACATGATGTCAGTGATAAGAAGTTTGGTGAATTATGCAACAAACTGTTATTTCCCATCTGCAATGACAGAGAACTTTCATTTTCTGCTTTGTACATTTCTGCTTTGTTTTATTTTTCTTCCCCAAATAGTATAGAATTTGTGTCAAAGAAAGAACAGTAAAAAAGAATATACTAGGACTAAATTTACCTCTTTTAAATTTAGCATTTTTGTTGAGTAAATAATTATTATTTAATACCTAGTATGTTCATAATTATTAATATCTAGTATATTCATAAGCCTTATGTATATTAACAATAATGCCTATTTGTGTGGGATATAGTCAAACATACTTGTTTTGGGGATGTTCATGGTGAGTTTGCCCATCTTTAGAAGAGTAAATTTTTAATGCTATTTTCCATTATAAAATAAAACAGGTTTATTTATAAAAGCTTAGAAAATACCTACAAGTAAAAAGGAGAAAAAGAACATAAATTACAAACTTACTTTCTATGTATAATTACTCTTAACATTGTGTTAAATTTCTCCCTACTTTTTTTTTTTTAATGTGCTACCAATTCTTTACACATTATAGTTCTTTAGAAAACCATCAAACAATCTTTTGGGGGGACAAATGCTCAAATATACAAAAATTGCTGGAGGCCAAATAAACCAAATTTCATATACGATTTGTAAAGGAAATTTGGTCAGTTAGAATTACTGGATTCAAATAAAAAGCTTTAGAACAGCCTCCTCACATGGGTCACCTTGTTTGGTGCCATTATTGATTCAAGTTTGGATTGCAAAGAATATGTAAGCACAAGAGACTTTTATTCTAAGAAGATACGAGAGGTTGTTTTGTCTTAACTTTCTCTTCAGGCACTTCCCTAGTTTTTTTACCAAGACTATGCACAAATGATAAGGAGATAATCACAGTAAAGTTAAGTATGGACCATGTGTGCGTGTGCTGGGTAGGGGGAAAGATTTAAAACTCAACTGTTATTATTTAATTCTTGCCTTTTTGCAGCCAGTGAAGGCAGGACAACGTCACAGGCTTACTGGGAAAGGCTGTGATTTTATGGAGCAGAGATTAGTGGAGATCCCCAGGATGCCTGGCACAGTTTACAGAGTCCTTTCTTCTCATAAAACATGAACATTTGTACAAAGATATCAATAAACCCTTAGTCTATTAGATCTTTAATTTGGGGCTTGGGAAGATATTTGTCATAACTCTTCAAAGTTGTTGCTTTGAGAATCTAGACTTGTTTAATCTTGGAGATAAAAATATAAGAATAATCTCAGGGTCTTGGGCGTGTATTTAGAGTCAGGTTTCTTGTCTGTTTCAATGATTTTTGTCACCCGGGAGATCAGTTTTAGCAAGGACACTAGAAAGTGTGAATCCGGTTATAATAATTACTAGGATCTGTCTTTTGCATTGCAGAGAATAGTTTACAAATTCCTTTCATTTTAAATTAAAATCCTCCCAACAATTTTTCAATGTTGATAAGATAGTACTCCATTTGCCAGTTTATGGAGAAGGAAAGCAGACTGATCGAGAGGTTAAAATCCTGCTCGAGGTCTTATAACTCTTAAACTGTAAAGGCAGGACTACAATGCTATTATCCTGACTTTGAATTTTGTAGTACGTCCTTTAAATCTTGCTTTCTTTTATATCATAAACGAAACATAGGTATTCTCTGTCAATACATGCAAATACAGCTTGCACAAGACTAAAATTCCTATCTTCAAGCAGCTGCAGGTTAACCTAGAAAATCCCTAAATGATGACAAGTAGGCATCTCTGTTTCCCTATAACAATGTGGAGGCTCTGTAATGTGACACATTACAAAGTGTAATGGAGCAGGAAGGAGTAAAGTGTGATAGGAAGAGGTCGATATGATACAACAGGACAGCTCCTTCCTCAGTTTTAGGGGGCAGGACTGAACTGATCTGTATTGGTCAAAGGAAATTCCATGCAATAGAAGGACTTAGTATGAATTCTTCATTCCACTTTTGAAAGCTGTTGCATTAAATAGAATTGAAGAGGAATAAGTGTGAGGCCTTTAAAAAGTTGGCACCTGGGACTGACTTAGTGTCTTGCTTATCCATTAGGCAATCACTGGCTTGCTAGTTAATTAATTATTTCTGCACAATAGGAAATAAAGTGATTTTTTTTTTACTTTGAAAATTGTTTGCCTCCCTAGAATTATTGATTTCTGAATCATATGAATATAACAATCATTTGTTGTGTTTTATAAAGAAAGAAAGGTAATTTTTATGGAAAGTGCTATCATTTATAAAAGGGACCTTGATGGTATATCACATATATTTGTCACTTTAAAGTTTGAAGGATCAATCCCTTGAAACTACTATAGTCTTAAAGATCCATATCAAAGACAAGAGGCAAAAGGTTGACCCTTCACATGTTCAGAGCTTTTAGAGATTTGTGGTCCTGACCTATAAACAGTTTTTTATACACGTTCAGGGAAACCACTCTGTGTATAACCAGTGAATTTAGAAGAGTGCCTCCATCCACATCTGTCATGTATGAAGCTTTCTTTCATCCATGGTTATTGGTTATATTTCCCAGATGACAATCTGAGCATACCATTTGATTACAAAGACATAAAGGAACTCATTTCCCAGTTAGGTAGTGCTTGGTACCAAAGAAACATTATAGTTCAGTAGACGCTTACATTTTTTTTTTTCATTTCCGAAAACTCAGAACTGAATTTTTTCATTAGTTTGTAATATTTTTTAAAATGAGATTTGCAATCCAATTAAAGACCCATGTATATTGGTTACATTTTAACTTTTCTTTATTGTATTTTACCTTCTAAAATGTTAAGTGCAAAATAAGAAACAGAAATTACATGTTGTTATTCTCTATAAATTTAAGGATTCCTAAGAGATGCCGTATATTAAATGTTCTTACTCAAATGTGAGTATTGTTGAGATGGAATGTTTAAAAAATTCTTACCCAAATTTCTTCCCAGACTAAGATTTCATGGTCTTGTTCCTAGTTGTATTTCAGAATTGTTAGTTGCTCTAGTCCAAATAATTATATTCTTCTTTTCATTTGCAGTTATTTTAGTCTCAACAGAAGTCACCTACTTTGTTTGTGGATTGCTTTTCGTTCTGGTTGTGGAAGAATGGGTTTGGGATTACGCTATCTCAGTAACTATTCTTCATGTTGCCATCACTTCAACTGGTGAGCAAAATAAAATAACAAAAACAGAGAAAATCTGTATTAAATCTGAGGTTGTACCTAAGTCACTTCCTAAGAACAAAACTGTGTTGTATGCCTGTTCTCCTATGATGGCTGGATTATAAAAACTGATGATGAGAGTTTGTCACCCCTCCCCTCCCTCCTCCTCCCCCACCGAGTTCTTGTACCCTCTTCTCGGAGAGGTTTTGGCAACTCCATTTCCGATTCAGAACTGTACTGAAGGTGTTTCCTATACTCTTTTCACATTCGTCATGTCATCAACTTGTACAGAGTTTGCCTCTCTAAAGAATATTTTTCCTCCAAAATCCTTCTCTTAGGCAGAAACTGACCAAAGACCGGGAACTGCTGGGAACTAAGGAAACTAGTACTTGGAGACCTGCAACCTTCCAACAGTAGTTTTTTTTTGTTTGTTTTTTTTTTTTTTTTTTTACCATCTCCTTGTTTTATTTATTTATTTTTTATTTTGTCAATATACAATGTAGTTAGTTATTGTGTCCCATCACCAAAACCTCCCTCCCTCCTCCCTCTGCCCCCTCCCACCCAGATGTGTCCCCTCCATTTTCTCGTTGTAAGAGCTTCAAAAAAAAAAAAAAAAAATTGGGGTTTTTAAATTTTCCCCTCCCCCCCCCCCCGGTTTTTT